AGCTAACACCGAGAAAGCCAACTTATATTTCATTCATATGGTACATTACATCCCTCAGCACTGGTATACAGTGACAGACCGATCGACTGATTCAGTTTGCTATTACTTCATGTGTATTGCTTCTTCGAGACCCGCATACCTGATGGCAACTTTCAAAAGCGTTTATGCTTCAAGGTTTCCTTAGTTGCGTGACTTGCACACAGCGTTCGGATTACTCTAATCGAACTTGTCTTTTTATCAAGTGGAAAACTCCCTTCCTCCGTTTTAGTGGCTAAAGGTGCTCAATCACTGCCTCGGTTGCGGTTTTTTTGTTGATACTCATTGCAATGAAGGTGACGTCCAGTTAATTGTGCGCCGACTACTGCAGCTGTGTTAGTAGTATATGTTTTTACGTAATCTTTCATACTGAGTCAGCGTCAACCGAGTGACTTGACCGTACCTCTACCAGCCTTGGATAGCGTACCTCAGATGATGATTGTAGTTTTGTTTCAAACTCTTTGTTCGATTCTAACAAAGTATTGCTGCGCACCTGTGTAGCACAGTTTTCCGAATTCAGCTTGATGCGCTTGCTCGTCGATTGTTAACAATCCGTATAACCGTTTCAGCCTCGGCTGTCGCTGACCATCGGCGCGTACGAACTAGACGCTGTTTCGAATCCCTTTTAAGGTGTTCTTCAAAGACAAATGTAGATACACTCCCATCTAGCTAGACGTGTTTGATTGGTGCATGGCTTTTTGGAGTTTCGATATGGTGGTTTGAAACATAAAAACAGTCCATTTTTATACTGTCATGATAAGGAGTCCGCTTGGGTGTCTCGCCCTTGACCAGTTACGTTGCCGTATTTTTTGGCTCCTTGCGAAATGATCCAGCGCCATTGGAAGCCTTCATGACTCATTCCAAATCATTCGTCGCACTGACCCAATGAAACCTGTCGTGAATTAGTTGGTAGCTGGTAAAGTTGGGTATGTGGTACGCCATCAGTAGTGCTATTCCGGATGCTATCCTTAACATGTTGAAGAGCTATTTCCTGATCCTATGCGTCACAACTGTTAATTGGGTTACCCGAACCTACCTGTAACCTTGATGTGACAGCCTCAAGTATCCAGGGTATCCGACACGACTTGGGATTATTCACACCAGTGGTCCTGCATTCTTGTTAAACGACGGCACATATCACCGTGTTATTTGTCCCATCTCTGTGTCTAAGTTGGTCATGGTCATCATTCTGCGGTGGTTCACTTATCTCCCTGATAGGCACATAACGGATGGAAGCCGAGTTGGCTTTCTTATCGATTGAGGGAGCACATCGATGACATCCTTACTGTTCATCAGGTGCGTGAAAATCACACTTACATGCAGCCTGTCACTATGTCGTTCGTTTACTTCAGCACTGCTTTTGATTCGCTTGCTCGTAACTGTTTGTGGTTATAATTGGCTTTTAGGGGCTTCGGGGAAATTTCTTGCTGCTTTATTCTCGGGAATCCGCATCATTTGTTTACCACGGTTACTTGATTGAATGCACTTGTTAGTTACTCTCTTGTTATTTTCCGTTTCTGAAGTGTTTAAGTTTCTGATGCTCGACCGAATTCAACGTGACTCCGTGTGAGCCACTATTCACTGGCGCTGTCATCATGCAACTATAAAAATCTTACTCGTGAGGAATGCCAATAACAGAGGAGTGGGATCCTGTTTTATAATTAAGTACCGTAGTTAAACATCCAAAGTCACAGCGCACCATGGCAGATATCTAGTTCTCGTGTGAGTTATGATGGATTTGGTCTCACCCCCCTGCTATACAGGCGCTACTATATATGAAACAAGTAATTCCTTTTATAGTTCCGAACCTGCAAATCAGAAGAACTGGATTCTGATATGATGTCGCCACTTCCTACATTGTTATCAATCACAAAACATGCAACGATGATAGGTAAATGAACATCCACAATGCCAAACAAGTCGTAAATAGCCAAACATTTGCACTACCCGGGTAAGCTTAAAACCACAGTCAGCGGCTTTTGAAGGTATAACAGCGATTGCGATCGATGACGATGACCGATCGCGCAAAAAGACTGTGAATGACTCATCAAAACTGACTCGGTTCGCAGTGGTAAGCAAGTGTTTTGTGACCGCCAACGCAGCTTGGTTTTTTTGATGCAACTGATTCCGTCGTCACAGACCCATCCGGATGCGTAACCACTTGGGGATATTTTCAATGATTCTAACACCTGGACTTTAGTTAGTGTGCCCAACGTAGCTGTCCCCACAGCTACAGATGAGTCTATATAGACAGTTTGACATGCACTGCGTCGTCATCGATGTATTAATCGAACACACAATCATAGATCTTGTCGATGTGTTCAGCCGCAGTTTCGCCGCGTTGTATGCTCTTTTGAGTGAAGTCCTTATCCATTTACCGATCGCACTTGATAGGTAGCTCTATGGAGATCGGCTTCTTCGGGACTGCTGGCATACGATCTCGCTTGGCTGTTTCACTGAGGCGCTTAGTGAACTGCAACGGGTAACCGTTAGATTGCAGCGTATTGAATTTCAGATCCTTTTCTGTTTCTATGGGGTCTGGTATGCAGATCATGTGGGCCCAGTAGAACAGTGTCCGGACGAAGAGCATTTGTGCTTAATAGTGAAAAACTTTGAGGTGCTGATACTGACCAGTCCAGGTTGGCTTCATGATGGAACCGTCAGGCCGCCGTGTTATCAGTACATCAAAGTACGGAAGGCAACTGTCATGCTCGTCATCACGTTTCACTACAAGATTCGGGTGCATATGGTTGAGAGCCTTGTTCGCATGTTTGATGTCCACATCCGAATCCATGATTAGCAGTATATCATCAATATAACGCTTATACAGAGTCGCCGATCTTATGAAAGTATCTGCTTTTCAATCATACCCATGAATACGTTTGTCAACAGCGGGCCTGGTACGCTACTCGTCGCCGCACCACCTGTCTGCCAATATGCTTTCTCTTGAAAGTAAAACTTGATGTTCTGTGCGCATTAAAGAAGCATGTTCTTCTAGAATTCTGTGGGGAGCCAAAGTCGAACGTCATAGTTTGAAATAGACTCGTATATCTAATCAGCAGTCTCAGTCAACAGGGTGTTGGTGGTGAGAAACTGAACGTTGATGGAGCTCATTCACTTTCCGGCTAAATTAACACGTTCGAAGTAAGAAAGTCGTTCGAAGGTGTTTGATTTGAAGTATGTTCTACTATGATTTTCTGATAGGCTCAAGCATGTTCAGCCATTTGGCAATGGCGTACGGTGAATTCACGATGGAGGTAATGGGTCATATAAGTATTCCTGCTTTATGTACTTTAGGCAGACCGTGCATTTGTGGAGTATGGTTATCCACAGGTTTTAGCGCCTTATATTCGTCGTCGAAGATAAATCCATGGAGTCCTAGGATTTGCAATTCACGACACAACTGCTTTTCGACTAAACGGGTATTGTCAATGTCAGTGTCCGGCTTGAACTTTGCTGTCAGATGAGATTATCTTCCTCTTACGTAAGTCATCTGGCTTGTCTAGGATAACCACTCCGGAGCCTTTATCAGGCTTCCGTAGAGCAATATCCTTGTTGTTTTGCAGTTCGCGTAGTGCCCTATTATGCTCTGCAAGGGGACTCATCCACCGTTGTATTCGCGCGCTAAAGAAACAATGCGATATATATACTAATTTCTTCTTCAACCAAGCATTATTAGTGTGACAAGTTTGATAGAAAGGTTCCAGTTGACTGTAGGGTTTCTCAAAGCTGGCATCAACGGATTCTCTTTGAATCTGTGTATATGCTGTTTCATAGACTGGGCTCACTGATATATGATTCCCATCGTCCACGCTCATCATACTATAACAAACCTGAGCCGACTGGTTTACTTGTCAGCGTAGTCCTACTACCATTGGTGCTCACCTCACTGAGGTGGGTTGCTGCGTTCATTGGCAAGTCTTTTTATTCCTTTCAGCGTCGGTTATGTTTGTGTATACTGTGTCCAAGTTATTCGCCCAAGAAAGGGTTTACAATACAATTGTAAATCAGTGCTTATCTTTTGCACCTAGAACTGACCGCTTCTGTCCACTGAAGTCTACCATGTATCGATCATTCCTGAAGGGAGCATTGACTGATTGATAATAAAATCCGTCATTTGCTGTTTAGTCCAACATTGAAATTTCATTGAGCTCGAAGTGCTTACACTGTGGTTAATCTATGTTCCTTACATTCCATTTAACTGACTGTTGATACTTCACAGTATTTTACATCAACGATGTGCGTGTTGTCTGATGAGTGGCCCGTTCCGAATCAGTCGTGCCTTTCGTGCAAAAAATCCTTACCATTTTATTCTTTTATTCAATGGGTGTGAGAGTAGGGCTGTGGGTAGTTTTTCACTTTAACTCTGTAGGTTACAGGAACATTTAGAACCACAGTGAAATCCGTATTCCTATAAGGTCGTAGGGTCGACGATCGCGGTAATATTTAGACATCTGACTACGGTCACTGTAGGTTAAGCTGTACCAGCTCGCACACACTGGCTTATTCTATGTTGTGATCTCCTCAAACCCTGTCGTATGTGCTTGGCGCAAGCACTAAAGACACATTGCTCGATCAGCACCACTGGCGCATTCGCCTCCTAACCGGGCGCGTATACGAGGCGAGCATGTGAAAACCTCATCTATGCTGCTGTCCAGTTGTATTGTTGTAGCCAGCTGCTTGTGACTGTGGATGTTCGTATGGTATTTCCACCTTGACCCTTGATGTTTGTTTGGTACATTCAGGTAATTAATCCTAATCACCAGAGTCTCGCGGTGGCGCGATTTCGGTGCTAAGCGCTACTAATGAAGGTGGCTGCGATGATCATATGATGCTGCTGCTTGCGGCTGGGTATTATTCGATGATCGATTTGCTTTTATTATGCGCCATGATACCCCCTTTCCCATTCATCGGTTTCCTATCCTATTCTAACTTGTTTTGACATTTTCTCTCCCACACACCAGGTTTAACTAACGTTCGTCTGTTATCCGAGCTAGAAACTCGCGAGAGACTGGATGCGAAGAAATGGCAGCAAGCTGGTCGATTGGCAGCCCCTCGAACGTTCGCCCACGATCCACGGATCACCTCTGCTCCTCGCGTTACTGGCACTTTGACTAATTCGTGCTCCGAACATCCGACTAATCAACGTGCACAGGGCTCTGGGTGATCCGCTTGACCCAGTCTTGACATTTGTACATACCGTGTCGCATGTGACTTTGAAGTTACCCTAAAGCCAGAACGGGCAAGGCAAACTGGTTTTATCTACTAATATAACATTCTCATAGGCGAGTTTCTTTTTCCATCCACCAGTCTTTCAAACCACCAAGATAGCCAAATGTTACATCCATTATGGTAGCCCTTGTAATGTTCTACTCCATTGGTGGGCCCTAGTGCTCTTTTTTGTCGTGACTCCGAACGCACCGTCTGCTCCTCATTTAGGGATCTCCTCATTCTACTTTTGCTCAAATCCACCTCCACATAGGCAAGTCGGGGCAGATTTTGTACTCTAGCCTGGTTACCATGTGTGCAACATGATCTCATCGCCATGGAACAACTTCATTGGAATGTGCAGTATTCTATAGGAACAGTAGCTCAGATGTTTCGGAATATTCTGTGCACAGTATCATGGACTTCCGAGGCGATCTGGTGGTGACCGACCTTGCGACTGCGTAATCCAAATCACATATGTTGTTCTCCGCTGGATCTCAGCAGCATCACAGATATGAGAGTCCTCTCCCTGAAACTGTCGGAGAAACACGGTCATTTACATTATGGAGTTCACAGTTCAAATCTACCGTTCTCGCACCGACATCATCCGCGTCTAGCGGTCGGTTTGATGGCGCGCTCTGTCATCCACTTTCTGGTTGGCATTGCCCTTCCGTTCCACTTTTGACGTGAAAGCCTTGACTTTACTATATGTTACTTATTTGTGCCAAAGCTGAGAGCAAAAGTGTTACCTCATAAACACGCAATTGGTCCAGCTTCTTACTGGAACTAATAAAACCTCTTTAGTATTGTAACGTTTGTGAAAGCCTCCACCAGTCGACCCGACGGGACTCGTGAAGCGCATGCTCGTTAATGCATCATATCTCATTGTTCGTTACCGGTTAGTGTGATTCCTGAGAGACTAATCATTGACGCGGTAGCGTGAAATGAAATCTCCAGCCACAGGATCGCACTGTTTTGATCCATCGCGCCTTCTGATCTAGTTTCAATGCGACGAACTCTGTATTTGGCTTGAGAGTGTTGAGGATATGAGTGGTAGTGCGTTTACTTTCGTCCCATTATAGAACTGGCTATTTTGCGTATACATCTCGCCATGTTGTTTGGGGCATTATCTTTTCGAGACACCAGTATTTTGTGCTCTCCATTCACTTGTGAAGTGGCATCATTTCAATTGTTCATTTGAGATGATGTAACCCTATCTGAGTGGGAGGTACGCAGACAAACATCAGCAGGCTGTAAACACTGAGTACGGTACATTGCCTATTATTGATCACGGCTCTGCAGATTTAAACTTTACCGTAAACATTGTACCGCAGTCAACTTGATGCCTTGTCCCACATTGGTGTCTAGCGGTAAGTGAGGCCGGTAACGTGTCTGTAGCTGCCTGTCCAGTTACTTGTAAACAAACAAATAAATTTATAGGATATTTATCGGCAATGCGTGCCGCAGTCCAGGATGTTGATCCGTTCAAATGTGGGTTGACTAATCAACTAACAAATAATCTTGATTTAGCGAGGCATCTCACTTGTCGTGGGCACTTGGTTACAAGAAGTTGTGATGCATTGATTACATGTTGGCCTGTAACACGCACGAAATTGCAAGGTAGCAGTTTATGCGTATCACTGGCATGCTGGTAAGTACTTTTAATAGTATATCAATTTCCAGGTCAACAATGAGGATTGAGGACTGTTGTGACTACAGTCACTCCTAACAATTGTATGCCGACTTATCTGAATGTTTTTCTGCAATGAAGAGTCAAAGTCGGAAATGACAGTATGAATATGCACGTCAAATGTTCCATTAGTCATAAGTTGATTTCGTTGGTTAGGTTCCGATTGCTTTTTCCTACGAATAACGTCTGAGCCGCTAGCTCATTCTTCAAGCCACATACCACTTAGCGATTTGTTTCTGCTTTCCAAATCTAAGGGCACGTTTTATCTCCATCGTAATGTTCGTCACAGTGAAATTTGTGGAAGATGTGATCCGGAATCGTGTGGTCAGGCTTCTAATTCATTTGGTCTGCGTTATGATCTACCACTGTTTCGGAGGAGGCAGATGATTTGAGTGTGGATTGGTGCAAACGACGGTGGGTTGAGCCGCATCAATTGATGTGTCCTATTCATGTAGAGTGATCAGGCCTCCATCATAACATTTCTGCATGGATTGTGCGCTTTAACCCGCTTACTCAGTCAGTGGCCTGTTCTGATACTGAAACTGACTTATTCGCTACAAACGAGATGGTAAATGCGGTGGTTTGCGGCGGAGACCGGTTGAATAGGCCTGATTGAAGTTAGAGAGTTTCCGCCACATTAACTAGAGCCTCCTCGAGCGCTCACCTGCAGAGACCACATCCTTCGTGCTCAATGCCTTAATGACGCACTGCCCATCATATCCGAATCTTACATTGTCTATCAGTTTACTTGCACATGTGGGGCCAAGTGCCTCGGAAATGCGACCAGGCGTCTGTCAGTACGAATGTCTAAACACTGCTGAGAGCCACGATCAGAAGAATCCACTGTGCCATCTTGGGACATTTGGTTCAACGTGAGCACCAATTTCTGACCAAGGACGCCTTCATGGTCTACTATACCGTACGAAAACGATACTCGCAAAAGGTGAAGAATGGCCTCTTGCAGACGGATGAAGCGATTGCGATCAGGCTAATAGTCAAAACTATGCATGAATAGGGTGCCTGTGCAACCACTGGCCTTGGCATGGGCCTAACGAGAAATGTTACTCTAGGTCTACAGGTGAGTTCATGCGGTCACCTGAGTTGGTCGATTTGAGTATCGAACGAATGTGACAAGTTTACTTATAGCGTTCTCAGCTTTGCTTTCACCAGCGAACTTTTGCCTTTATCAATCGTGTACTTGACTATTGTGAATTACCGCAAATCTCTTTGCAACTATGTGACTGAAGGCGTTGACATCTTTCTGGCCATTTTTCGATGACCAGAGTTTGGCAGCACTGAGTTTGTATCGGACTGCTGTGCCACATGTTCAGATTCCATACGATAAGCACTTTCAGTCAGTCGTTTTCCATCGGGTTACTGTGGAGCCTAATAGATCTCTAACGGTAATAGTGTTTACTTAGTGGACGACAGTTCAGACCATACACAGGTGGTGTTGCATATCTTACTAGCTATGTTAAACAGTTTTGACGATGCGACGTTTGGCGTGGACTGGCATGAAGCCACCCGAACCTTCAAATAATCAGATATACTAACTTTTCTGAAAACAGAACACCGTGCCTAGTCACCCTTTTTCTAGACAACACTGCATCCAGAAAAGTCATACAGATGTTATCCTCTGTTTCACACACAAGGCGTGCGTTTTGGTGCGCGTATTCATTGTGCGAAACCTCCGCGTTCTCAGCCTTTCGGGCAACAATTAATATATTTTCAAAGTACCGACGGCCTAATTCTATCTGGCCGAGGTCAGGTCCACAACGTCAATCGGCCGCTGAAATAAAGGTAGCTGCTAGTACAATATATTGCTGACATCCGATATCCAAATCATTTACCTGTAGGTGTGGTTAGCGTACGGGTTTGCTCATTTCCGTTGTGCAGGAGTAGTAATTGCATGACTTATTCTATCTCAATCGTGACAAGAGCATAAGCATTTCACCCCTTTTTCAACTGGATATTGGTCAACGGAGTATAGTATTAGACAGCCAAACAAAGCAAGTACCTACGAGCAGCGCTACATCGCTGGGCATGACAGCACGGACCAGTCCGTTAGGGGTCCCTGGAACAGTTGATGAAATCAGGCTCGTCGCTTTTCGGGTAAGCCGCTGACCCCAGCGGTGACTAGAGCAACTGTAGAAATACGCTGCGCATGGACGCTGCACGCGAGGCTTTGTCTGACCGCAAGCAAACGGCCAGCTAGAATGCTGCGTGGCAAATCAGCCGTACAATAAGCGTTCACACCCTTTGGGACCAAATCACAGATAACTGGAAGGCCGTGATGCCAGTGCAAGTTTGACCTGTAAACACAATCGTTGTTTAACCCCTTCGTACATGGACAAAGAGTTTTGATCCAAAAACGTTTTTTTCGTTGATAGTGATGAAGTTGGTCTCCTAACATAGCGAGATTTAGACAAATGAGCAAATGAGAGCATGTGCACATTTGTACACAGTGTGAACCAATCTACCAAAAAGTCCGAACATTAAAAGCTAAAATATATCGTCCTAAGTCTTCTTTCGTTATTCTTTGGTGTGAAATGTTCTTAAACTGGTTGCATTTAGTACATTTGAACCTGATGCGTCCTTTGCAACCCTCAACCTTGCAGTGTTGCCCTACTGATGCAAACCGGAAAATTGCCAAATCTACCATATCTGACTTCAGTACCTGGTCTCTTTACAGGCTTTGCACACTTCTTAGGTTGGGAAGTAACAGTCATAGCATTTGTTGTTGAAACATCGTCAAAAGCTGACTGAAGTTGTGGATGTGCTTGGTCTTCCCACAGATCTGCATGGATTTTGTGTGGTCAAGTGCGCCTTCTATAATCTGTGCCATTTACCTTCGTAATGTCCCTATACCCCAACTATGAATTTGCAAGTGCAAAGTTTAGTTTCACTTTGGCCTTAATTCTATACAGAGATGCTAAAATCCAACTTATTCACATTTCCCATGTTTTCATTCTACACTGACACATTTTGGGCAGTTTACTTGAATAAATTCCTTTCTGCTATCACTGCACCGACGTGCATTGTCCATCTCTTCAGTGCCCATAAACTGGGCACAGTTCTAACAGCCTTGTTGTCCGTCCAACTGTTTACACAAATGTCCCTTACAACTGATAAAATACCCCGGTAGACATCAGAACACATGTTGGCGAAGAAGCTCACTTTCAGTGGTTCCTAATCAGGCTAATGCACCACAATTTAATGACATAAACGTAAACATCAGATAAGGATACAGGTTCAAAACCCGGATAGTTTTAGTGACCAAGGTAGGTGATTGCCCCACGGCGATCATGAGTGTGTTTGTGTGTGTGGCCTTGTCCACAAAATGTGTCCCTGCTACAGGGGACCAGGATAGAGTTAGTGTCTGGACAAA